ATGCTCATATTTATAAAACTCAGTGCCTCTGTGAAAGGTAAGGATGACTGCTACATTTATGGTGCAATCAGAACATTGTGTGCGTTGAAGTTGCTTTAACGCAAACCAAAGATGCCTTTTAAAAAACAAGTTTACATCATATTCTTATGCATGCCAGTGCTGTGTCTGAGGTAATTTAAGGTGGTTCTAACAAGTGTTGTCGGCATCTTCATATCCGGTCACATGGGCAGCAAGCCACTCTCACAAAGGAGGCCACACCCACAGAGTAGGTTCGAACAATTTTTGAAACCCACCACTGCTACCATTTCATAAATCCTACTCAGTTGTTTATGACTGCAATCTTATACACCATCCCATTCAACTTGGAGGAACTAGTTTTTCAGCAGACATGCGTAGGAATCATGGCATCATCATATGTGTCTGGGTCCCAGTATATAGTACTACCACAAAATACTCTTTCAAAATGAGCGATGCTGAGCAAAATAACTGTAATTATTGATTTTCTTGGAAAACAGAAATTTCTTTTTTTTTTCTTGTTTCCCATAAGAAATAAGTTTTAACTTCTTTTCTCATATGTATATATTGTAAATTAGGATGTGCCCATGTACTCTACATTTTACATTTGTATTTACATTTCACAATATATTTGTTCAATCTAGCTTCAGGATCAGCTGTTTGAAAAAGACAAGGAATTGAAGACACTAAAGCTGGACTTAGAGCTACAAGAGAGTATAGCAGAAGCCAAGATTGCAGAAAAGGCTGCAGGTACTGTAGGCAAGCATTGAACAGATGGCAATATGGCTCTTGCATTTCACTTGGTTGCTATATGCCATTTGATATATTTACCAAAGGAGGGGTGGCTTAGCTTTTTTTTTTTTTAATACGAGGCTGTTTAAAGTTGCTTAGAAAATAGGTGGCTTTAACATCCTGGTACCGGTATTAGTGGGAGCTTTACCTGTATTCATACTGATTTTGGCATTAAATGCATTGTTAACACCATGTCAATCCAATCACAAAAACATTATTTGTTTTGTTGGAAGGTCCTGTACAAACAAGGGAAATAATGATTACCACGGTCACTACCTTTCCAGCCAGCAGTTCAAATATTCATTTATTGTTTTAGCTCATTCAGAGGGATGTTGCCCCCACACATCTTGTTGGAGATACTCTTATAATCCCCCCAATGGGAGACCTGACCCTCATTTTGGTAGATGGAGAAATGTGATTTTTGATTAATGAAAACCCAGCTGTTTAAGGATGGTGGAAAAGTGGACGTAGATAAAAAAACAGATTATTCAGTTGAAAAAAATCAACTGAATTTTCACAGTGTGTTTCAATGACACCAATGAAAATAGGTTAGTCACTGTACACCTTGGGGGAAAATATTTATAAATCTATAAATCTATAATCTATAAATATATAGATTTCTTTTGTTTGTTTTTAAAAGCTCTCATCCTAAAACACCTGAATAATAGTTATGTCTGGATTATCAATAAACTAAACAGTGCATGAACTGTTTGAATTAAATTCCACAAATAACTGGTTTTTTAGGGTATTTGCACAGAATTTTGGCTCTGTGTTTGTAATGGTGAAATGTTTTATTTTGTATTCTTTCTTTGTCAGTGAATCCAGGGAAGCCAACTGTGGATAGGAAATCCACATATTTTGATTCAACCAGCTGAGTTCAGGCACAGAATTTAAATCCTGTTCAGATTGTCCTGGTTATTAGGACTTATTAGTGCAAGGTGTCAGAGGCAATCTCATAAAAGTACTTTGGAGCTCATGAGAATAGACCTGTAGTGTCAGTTTGCAGACTTTAAAGCAACCATATAGTGTCTGATGTATAGTGAGGGACGTGACGGCTCAGAGGCTAAGACGTTGAGCTTGTCGATCAGAAAGGTTGGCAGTTCAGCAGTTCGAATCCCTAGCACCGTGTAACAGAGTGAGCTCCCATTACTTGTCCCAGCTTCTGCCAACCTAGCAGTTCGAAAGCATGTAAAAATGCAAGTAGAAAAATAGAAACTACCTTTGGTGGGAAGGTAAAGTGTTCTGTGCGCCTTCGGCGTTTAGTCATGCCGGCCACATGACCACGGAGACGTCTTTGGACAGCACTGGCTCTTCAGCTTTGAAATGGAGATGAGCACCACCCCATAGGGTTGGGAATGACTAGCACATATGTCCGAAGAGAACCTTTACCTTTATCTTATTGCGTTTGGGGCAGATGTGGCTGCTTTAAGGTATCCCGCATTCATAGCAACATGCAAACATTAATGAAAGGTGCTTTCATTAATGAAAAGTCAGAAAAGGTAAAACATGTTTTGGAAATCAAATCTAGACCACTGCTCAGCCCAATGGGAATTGCTTTACCATATGTGTTTTGTTTCTTTGCTGAAATTTTATATTCATTCTCTGTCACATAAAAAATATCAAAAGTGATTTTAATATAAGAGTCTGGATCCAAATAATTTTATTTAATTTTTCTTTTTAGAAAAACTATCAAATGTTATTGAGATTTTTCTCTTTCTGTTAATTATTGTTCTTTACACATGGTGGAAATAGACCAAGTTTCAGCTAGATGATATATGCACAGAAGTTAAGTTACACTGCATTTAAGACTCTGACAACATCACAAGATAAGGTTATAATAAAGTGCACATAGACGTTGGGAAAAATGTCAAAGAATAATAAAGTTTCCATGCTGGAAAGACATTGGTAATAAAAAAAATTGACAGCAGAAAGAAAGCAAACTATTGTAGAAGCTGTCTGAGATATGAAGAAATGAAATTAGATTTTTACCTAACATCACTGATGAAGCAGGTTGCATCTGAAATTCGGAAATGTCTTGCCTGCAGTAGAAAGTTAACATTTCCAGCTTGTAGTCAGCTCTGCAGAGCATATGCTTATATCTTTTGCTGATGTTTGAGAAGAGGTTAGGAGGAGGAAAGAGTATGGGGGAGCAGATGGAGAAATAAAAACTGCAAAGCAATAGGAAAACATCCCCCTAATATGGATGCCCATCTGTAGTTATCATACAGAGTAAATAGGCATAGATCCGAAGCTCAGAAGAAATGCAGCGAACAGGATGAGATACTTGGACACAGGACTGGTGTTCACACATTATCGAAGAAGCTAGTAATCCGACAGCTTTAAGAAGGAAGGAATTTATTTCTGCATTATTTCTGCAAGGAAATAATGACAAGAATGACTTAAAGGCAGAATAAGTGAAGAGCAGTGTCTTATGAAAAAAAAACTGGCTCAAAATTATTATATTGATATACTTATCATGCTTTTATGTAAAGTTAAACTTTTGGGTTGGGTATCTTTGTCTGATTCTGCCTTTTTAGAATTGCTCTGACTTGATTGACTGTAGTCTACCCAGTTCTCTTAACAGTCTCTGTTTTCTGGCCACTAGAGGGTACTGTTCCATCTTAGTGTTGGATTTTTAGAGGTTACCTCTTCATACTCTTTCCCAGCTTAACTGTGGTTGAAGAAAAAGCAATATATCTAAGGTGGGAAGTGAACTTACTATTACTTAGAGTGGAAAAAGAGGATTAAAACTAGAAAAATACAAACATGGGGGAAACAAGTATTAGTGTCTTTTTATTTTTTGTCAAACACTAGCTTTTCTTTTCTTCCCTTTCTTTATAGACTTTAAATGACTGAGTTAAAGGCTAAACCTTCATTGCCTCTACACAAACCTCTTGTACCCAATATCATACATTTCCTTAATTTAAATTCAATTTGGGGAAGAATCATGGATAAAAATGCAGGTTTGCTATTGCAGTGGGACGGTTTGCAGACATCACAAAAGATTTATCTATTAATTTGGTTACCATTTTGTTATGGTCCCTTGTATTTCCAAGGCAGCCTCAGGAATGGTTAGTAATAATGATGGTTGCAGCAAAACATCACCTGCAGACCAGTGCTGGGTTGCTCTTACCGTCACTACCAGTATGCTGATCGCGATCTGTTCGTACACATGCCAGACATGTACTGTGCACACGCCTGACATGCACTGCGCACGCATGCGCAATCCACCCACCCCCCTATGACAACCAGCTGCTTGTTGGGGTTTGCACAGGCACTGCACGCTGTGCGCTTGTGCGCACTATGCCGTTTGCCATAAAAACTAGCTAAGAGAACGGGCAAGCAGGTGAGCCAAATGAGCCACCATACCGGTACACTCTCAGCTGCTCCCAGCCACTACACGGTATGGCTGTACCAGGCCGTACCTGCAGCAATCCACCTCTGCTGCAGACACGCAGCTAGAAAGGTTGTTCCAACTCAAAGAGAACCTAGCATGTTCAGAATCATCCCAGGACAAAAGTGAGCTAGATAATTCTTCTCTGAAAAACAATATTTGGAGATAATGTTGCCACCCTTCTTTTGCATCGTTTTCTCATTTTGAGCTCTTCTCTGTGGCCTTTGTTTTTATGCTGGTACTGGCCCCATGAAGGCTGACTGCTATTCTTTCCTAGTCTGCCTAGGAGCTGTTTTTTTCTCGATGCCATTGTTCACAGTCCTCCCTGTTTCTCTAGCCTATCTCTCAGCAGCTCCATCACTCTACTCCTGCTTGCTTTCCATTAGCTCCATCTCTATTGTTCCTCGCTCACCTGCTTCTGACATCTCTGCTCTTTGCTAACAGTGGGGGTAACAAGCAGGCTTTCATTCTTTCAGCATTGTGCATGCTGTAGACGTTTACACTGGGCAGCCAGTAGGACTTTCTGCCTGAATTTTTTTTTAAAGCTCAAAAATTTGACACCAATTGCATTCAAGCTCTGGATGTAGAAACAACAGAATTATGAAGGCACAATGACACAGAGATTATCCCACTTTCTTTTATGGCTTTTGGGCAGCTCTTACTGGATGTAACAGGGAAAATAGACACAAACTGTGTACATCTGAAAAGACCCATGGGCTCTGAATGACCGGGATATGCTGAGAGTTATTTTTTGCAGGCCTCTTCAATAAGATAACTGTACACTGCTTCAATAAATCTTATTAACCACCTTAAAACTCTTTTTAACTTTTTCCACACATACAATAACAGGGCAGGGTGTTCCAGATAAACACTGCCAGTCAGTGAGTTAATATTTGTTGTTTCATTAAAGTCCTTGGCACTTGGCCATGCTGTACTGAGAAAAGATATCGGCTGATTTAAGGGTCTGACAATTGCTACTGTTTGAAACAGAAATTACTATTTGGAGAATAATAAACAACTATCTTTCAAAACGCCCCACCACCACCACTGTATGTGGGAATATTGCCTCATCTCGCTAAGACCCTTCCATCGTTATCATCATCATTATAAGCATATGCAACACAATATCAATCTATAATCTTAAATGATAAGAAATAGAAGAGACTGTGAACCAAATATAAATTTGACTTATATTCTTGAAGAGTAGATAATTTGCTGCATGGACCTTAGAACTGAAACAAAGCTATCTCAAATTCAAAATATAGAAAAATAGATTCTAAGCTAAATTTGTGTTTATTAATAATACCACTATTTTACATGAGATGAAATTCTGAGAAACTTTTTAAAATGTACAAAAGCTGCAATATGGAAGCAGTTTATTATTTTAAAACTATACAGTGGTTATATTTCATTTATTTAAATAAATGCATTTGCCTAAATATCTTACATTGTTATTTAGCAGACTGGGCCATTGTGGCCTCATTACCTGGGGCCTTAAGATACTTCCTGTAAGGTAGTATTGGTCTAAATACAGAGAGAATATTCAGATTTATTTTGGCAGAGA